GGAAGAATTCACTCCTGTCTGAGACTAGAAATCAGAACCTGCTGGGAAGGGCAAAAATTGAGAAATAAGTCAGTTGTGCCCATTTGAGAGGAATCATTTAAGCAATTATTTTTGTTACTCAGCTTCAAAAGGGAAAAGACATAATGGTGAAGTTAGGAGAATTACAATATGTGTGTTCTGCAGTGTGTTCTCCTCAGTTTGTGTGAGATCCCTTAATCCTTCTTTGTCTCTGGTTTCTCTGAAACATTAAGAATGCCTTCCGATCACTGCAGAAGGCTTTTATCAGCCACAAAAGTCTTGGAGTGATGCAATAAAAAATTCCATGGAGACAAAAATGCAGGGGTGGACCATAGTTCCCTTGAGGCTGTACAAGAATTCCTCGAACTCAAGAGATACAAATGTATTTACATACAAAACCAGCCCAACAATGCAGGCTTGGTTGTGAAAGAGCTTGGAACTGCTGGAAGATAAAGCTGCTCTTAGACTTCCCTCCGCTGGGGGAAGCTGAAAGGTTAGTAGGTGGGCTCTGAGCAGAGATGAGACCCTCCAAGGCAGCGATGGCCACAATCCTCCAGTGAGGGTCTCAGCTGGAGCAGAGCTGCAGCCCGAGCTCATGAAACAGCTCCAAGCGCGGGGTGCCACACAAATGTGGCGGGAAGAACGTTAGCTGGGCTGGGCCCTCCCCTCCCCTCCGCTCCGCAGAGGGAGACACCGACACCCCTCGCTTGTCCGAATACCTGGGGGTGGGACACATCCCCATGCTCTCGTGCAGTGGGCAACGGGGAGCGAAGGAAGGATGGGGTGTGTACCAGCAAGCCCCCGTCAGCAGGACGGGCAGAAGCTGGTTTTGCACTGGATGCGGAGCGGGTACCGGTGTGGGGCACATCAGGGGCTGGGAGGAATTTCGGAGCTGAGGGCGCAGGGCTGGGCCCCTCGCCCAGCCTCGGGGCAGGAGGCTGTGCCAGCGACGCCGGCCCGGTCGGGCAGGGCAGCGTAGGCAAGGTGATGCAGTGGGTCTCCTTCCTTGCACCTCTTCCGTGCTGCTGAACCAGCTGTGAGTTAAACTTGGCTCTCTGTGAAGACCGTGGTGTTGGGACCTTTGACTCAGTAGCTGGGTGGTTGGGTGTAGTTTTGTCTTCTCGTGTTTCTGCTCACCCCTTCTCTGTACTGTGCTCCCTCTGCACTCATCGCCTGCAGTGGTTTGAACCGCTGCTGCAAGGGGGATTATCTTTAGTTTAAGAAGATGGAAACTCATCACTTAAATCTCACTTACCGTTCGTCCTGTCCTCAAAACTGCAGACGTTCAGTTACTAAAGACAGGGAGGGCGTGAGCATCCTTAACATCTTAAAATCCAATCAGGAAGGTATTTTGAAGACTGACGTGTGGACTACATCTAGCAAGGGGAAAGAGCTGTCACTCAGCACAGATCTGTTACTAAATACTGCTCTCCAGAAGACAACTGACAATTGTAATGGGGCTAATTCTTCTAGCAGCATTGGCATAACACCATCAGGGCTGTCTGGCACTGCACAGGATATTTCTTCCACGGAAGAAAACTAATTCTAAGCAAGATGGTTTTAGTGTGAGTTATGTTCCTTAAAGTGCTATTACAGCAAGTAAAACAAGTGGCATCGTTTCTCAGTGTTTTAAAATAAGCTACCCTGAAATCAATATGGATTTATTCCTTGTCTCTTCCCACAGTATCCAGAAGGATCTTTCCATTCCTCTTTCAGACAAAAATGTATCTTCATTTAAAGCATATTATGTATTGCACCTGCTGTAAAACAGAATGTGCATTTGATTGACTGTCTTGGACTGATCAGTCCCTGCCCCCAAGCAATTCCAGCTGACTCAGTGGTGATGAGCAGTGCCCCTTATGGATCTAGAGCTAACTGTGATGCTAGACTTAACAGATTCTGTTTTTCACTAAATGATGGTTTCACTTCCTTTTCCATATTAAAGTGTGATTTCTATTCATATTTTTTTTCATTCATAATCTGAGTAATACCTGACTTTTCTGTTTAATGTACGGGAAGTCTTGTCTTGTTTAGTTTTATAAGATCTCCAAAGGCTGCCTATAGCGGCTTGGATTTTTCAGGACTTTACGCTTTGTAATTTAAAAAGCAGAAGTCAAATTTGGTTGTAGTGGGAGTTGAGCTGGAGCTGTATGAGAAGATGATGACCTTACTAGTGTTTTTCCATACCAGAAGCAGATGCTTTCCAAAGCACTTCAGCTGCGGGGGGACACACACACAGAGTGTAAGTTCTGTTTATTTTCAGTGGCATCTTCATGGTTCTGAACCTCTTATCCAGACTCTTCATGGGCTGTAACTGGCTAATTAAAAAGCAGGGTTTAGGTCAGCTACTTCTGGTTTCAGTGTGGGATAAATGCATGTTTTGGAGCAACTTAAGGAGGAATGGCTGTTAGGACAGCAGTTTCTTTGAGCAGAGACTTTGGGGCAACTTTGGTCCAGAAACAGGAGCTTCATTGAGAAATGGCTCTGGAGAAAAAAAAAAAAAAAAAAATGTTTTGAGTATCAACATGTCACCAGATCCTGGGTTCTCCTGAAGGCCATAGCTACTCTTTCAGAGAGTCCTGGTCCCAAGGAACAGCTCGGCCAGCCCAACAGCAGTGCATCTGGCCTGTTCAGAGGAAACTTTGTTCGAAGGGCAGGTACTCAGCTGACTCACTTGTTTAAGAACAAGTGTAACAGAGCAGGGAGTCCTTTCTTACTGCTTAGTACTATTGCAGTAATCTGATATGCAGTTACTCACCAACAGAGAAGTTAAAACTATTTCTGATTATCTGACTCTTGCACTGCTTGCTGCAGTACTGCACCAAATAACGGCCCATTAGCCAATACCAGAGCGTATCAGAAGTGAGTCTGGATTCACTCAGGGTGGTTCTCAAATCCAAATCTCAGGCTCGTGGGAGAGTTGTTCCCTGCAGGGAGAGATGTAGATACTATCACTAGCCCACAAACACTTCAATAGGATTAAAGCTCACGCTACAGGTAGTGGGATTGGCTGTGTTTTGCTAAAAACAGATGATTGTTTTGAAAAAGGGGAGGGGAATTGACGGCAGGCTTTACAGCTGGCACACAGCTGAATTTTATATTCTTTCACATTGTCATAATATTTCTCTGAATCTCTGTATCTGAGGGTAGGTAAGTAGGTGATGAACAACAACTGCTGATAGCTGTGGGCTTACAGTTTGAGAAGTGTGACATCAGAATTCAGAATGACCTGTGCTATTTAGCAGGCATTTAATTATAATTTCTAAGCTTCTAAAGTCCGCACCTTTTAGGTCCAGATTTTTTTCTCTTTCAGACAGTAGCTACTGAAACCCATTTTTGTGTTGGATTTAGTACCTCAGTGCCTATCTTCTATATTAAATAAAACTGACAGTGTGGACAGCTCGTGTTTGTGGTGGGCTGAAGTGGACTTACCTGGCATGCAGAGCAGGGCAAGGACGTGCTCGTTTACGGCGCCTGTGCATTCTCATTGGCGCAGACTGCTGAGCACTGAGAGGCATATTTAAAAATAGAAAGGCTCTACAGGCGCTTGGTTGGTTGTTGTCCAGCTCTCACTGGTGACTGAGCCTGGATGAGCTGCTGTAATAGAAGATCACAAGACAGGGTCCTGATGTGCCTCCTTTCATTGAGGCTGGGCCCCTTCAAGCAGATCTGCTCCAGAGGGGAGAGAGAAAAAGCTTCGAGCCTTCTACTTGCATCTGAAAATCGGTTTGGCAGGTATCATATAGCAAACTTCCTTCCCACTTACTTGATCTGTGCTGTGACTGAACAGTCCCTGGGGAAGTGTTGGGTGATACCGGTATATGGCAGTGCACCCCGGCAGATGTCTGCCTGTGCATCAGAGATGAGAGGGGATGATCGCCAGCTCTGAAATACAAGGCCACACAGGGGACAGAAGTAAGGCAAGAACAAATGGCCGGAGATCGAGACTTGTGCAAGAGGGAGCACAGTGGTGCCTGTAAACAGCTGGTGTCAGAGCTGAGCTGAGTCCTCCTGAATAACCAGCCTTCTTTCAGTATACTGCACCTGAAACAAGTTTGGGGATGGTCTTCTCTGAAAAAAGTCTATTTTAGACAAGGCGAATGATCCTGTATTTTTTTCCTGTCTATTCAAAACAGCCTGGCCTGAACCACGCAAACGAGAAGGTCGCACACGAGAACACAAATTCTGACTACTGAAAGCATTAACAAATAAATGTAGAATTAGTACCTGCTACTACTCTGAAAGCAGTTAGCTACCTTAAAGAATTCAAGTGCAGCTTGGAGGTCTAATGCAGCGCTGCAGCCAAATCTTGGAGGGAGAGCAGAGCGCTACTGTGCCTTCCTTTACGGGCAGCCAGGTGCAGAAGCGCGGACGGCAGAGGAAGGGGAGCGAGAGGTCTCATCTCTGCTCAGAAAACTGATCCACAACCCGTCTGCCCTAATGATTTTCTGTCATGGTGCATCAGGTGGCTTTCGGCACTAAGACTCAAATGTGCCCAGCAGGAGTGTTTGCTTGCCTTCTGTGAAACAAACGACGGCCTATTCTTGAGTCTAAAGCCCTGTGGGATGGAGCAGGGTGCTGCTGGAGTGACTCTTATTTAACAGCTTCCATCTCAAGTAATATTGTGAAATAATACTAATCCATACAAGTGTTGGTGGTGGATTATATTTCCCTGTGCTTGCAGGGGTAGGCAAGTATATCAGAAGCGACTGGAGAACAAAACCATACTGAAATCAGTCATCTGGATCCAGTTTAAGAGTGTTTGAAGCTCAGCTGCACACGCTAGAGACTGTTGCTGGCAAAAACATACAGCCCTTCAAGTCCAATTTTCTTTGAGCAGTTTGCCTTCAATCTGACCTTTGTAACAGATGCAGTACAGAAGGGATAGGTTCTGAACTGGCGCTTCTCAAGTGAGTAAAATCTCACATTCAGAAACTGAAAAGAAACACAAAGTTATTGCTCAAAAATTCAATGCAAGTTTCTTTTAATTTTGAATTAATCAATCTTTTATTCTTTAGTAGGAGGTATTTACAGTCCGCTGCAGAAGCAGTGCAAAGCCACTGTGCCTCGAGCCTAGCCAGAGCTACGCTTTCAGTTAAGAGTACAAATTCAGTGCAGAGGTAGCTTGGGCTGTAATTACTCCCACCCAGTCCCTCCTCAGTGTGTTTTAGCTGCTCTTCCCATGTTGCTGCCCCAGGAGCCTGGCGTGGGGGAGCTGAGCTTCCTCAGGGCCTGGAAGCTGCTGAACAGCCCAGGCTGGGAGGAAGGCAGCTGGCAGTAGCCGGCTGGCTAGTTTAAAGGTGCTGTAGATGGTTGATGCTGATTAACTGATGCACTCATGCAAGTCAGGTCTTGCAAGGCTGGTCCCCGTTCTTTATGTGAGGAACCTCACACCTACACCAACTCAAGTTTTATTGCTGCCATGAAAAAAAGGCTTTCAAAACTACCAAGTTTAATTGTTATGTTATTGGTTGTAAGGTCTATTTTTCAATTTCAGAGCAAGAGTCTGGAATACTACAGAACAGATTTTTAGAAGTCTGTGCTTGAGGGAGAAGATAATTAAGTAACCTTCATGCTACTTCAACCTAGCTGAACAAAAAAAAACCGCAACTCAAAATCAGTAGGTCCCCACAGCACTATCTATCTCATTGAGCTATACTGCATTTTCCTTCCTGTCCCCTCTCACATCTGGTCAAGAGTAAGATCTAATTACATGGATTACAGTAGACTTTGTAAGGCCTGTACGTGTACTAAGCTATAAGCAATTATCCTGCTGTTTGTTAGTCTCTTTTCTTTCTCCAAAGTTGCTCTTTCTCTACTTTCCCAACAAACTGCAGAATATCTTTAGCAAGAAGTTCTGGTTCTTCCAAAGCTGCAAAGTGGCCACCTCGAGGCATGAAATGGAAGGAAACGATGTTGGTGTATTTCTTCTGGGCCCAAGCCTGGGGTGTGTGCATGACTTCATTAGGGAAGGAGGCAATGCCTGTAGGTACTTGTACTGTGAGCCTGAGAGAGGAGAGAGAATAATTTTAATCTTTCAAACACTTAAATCTGCAAGAAGTGGAAAGTCCCAAGGCACTGTTGTTCTTAAACAGTTGGGCACACTGTTGTTAGGCAATTAAAATTCAACTTCCAGATCCTAAATTTGGAGACTATACAACACTCCCATTGCAAGGGAAAAAAATAAAATTTTTGCATACATTGATATTAAGGCAATTTTGCAAGGGATCCAGGGCATGAGAGTTAGAAGCATGGAAACTGGGGTGAGTGCCCTAGGAGGTAGTGGGTATCAAGTTTCCTCATGCTGCATTCAGGGCTCAAGAGTCATGTATTGAGGGGAAAAGCACGCACTTTGACAAGGGCTGGAGAGAGATTTACAGTGAAGAATACAACTAGAACAGGCTGAGCCTGGCAGGACAACTGGAAGGTAGGCAGGGGAAGAGTTATCTTGAACTGCTGCAAAGGGGGAGGAATAATGGAGAGTAAATCTAGACTCGTTCAGAGGAAACGCTTCTGAAAGTGAGACTTTACCCTGTAAAGCAGTTCTTGCTTTTAACTGGCACAAATGCACTCTACAGAACATTTTGCACATTAGGAAGTGTAGGGAAGCAACTGGATACGAAGGGAAAAGTATCTTAAAGTGGAATGTTCCACACTTGTTATAAACCGAGCAACGTTTTCTAGGTTTAAATACCCCATACACATAAGCTGCATTGTCAGAAGTGACAGACTTTAAAATGTAGATAGAAAAACTGATCGGCACATAACCACTGGATGCCTAATTTTACATAGGACTTTGAGACTCTTTCCTCCAGGCACATAGAAGCTCATCTCATGTAGGCAGAACTGGAGCAGGATACTGCCCACAGCATAGCCATGACAGCTTCGAGAACTGAGTCAGCTTCCTGGGAGCATCATCTCACAGCTAAATAAATACCACAGCAGTGAGCTGTAGTTGCAAATACCTCAGGGTAGGTTTAAGCCTTCACTAATACTCAAGCTGACACAAGTATATGCAGCCAAGCTGCTGTCTTACGTGTCTGCGCAGCAGGAACATCAGTCTTACTGGCTTTCAAAGGATGCAGTTTGTCAGTATACCGAAGTTGCTTCCAAAGGTGGGACTTAAATCTTTTGCAGAAATAGGCAAACTGTGTCCAGAAAAGTACTAGAACTACAAACCAAATAAACTATAAACAAAACTGACTGAATGACTCAGTCACAGGCTAATTTAGTAACTGAAGTAAAATCTGGAAGTACTCATACGTGTGTTTCCCTAGTTGGATACACCGTGAATAGGAGGTCCTCAAGCAATGCCTCCAGTCAGATCTCCTTACTGATGGCTCAGGATTCTTGCCTAATTACCATCTTTTCCAAGCATAACACAGTACATCGACTAACAGACCTGCAGAGGAACACTGTGATACAGCATTGCTTTTCCTCAGCACTCAGGAACTAGCAGCAGCTATAAGACATAAGCAACCTCTCTGCAACCACAAAATTAAGTTCAGGGCAAAACAGTTAAAGAAAAAACCCAACCACTTACTTTTCATGTTTCTGTGTGCCTATCCCCTTCTGCAAATTTTCCTTGTAGAAACGCATCGAGGAGACGATACAACCTGACACCCAGTAAATCATGATATTGGTGAGCAGGTCATCCAGGTTAAACTTCCTGAATGGGTGAGCCCAGAGATCACTTAGTTAGAACAGAACACCATTTGGTATTACACTTTAGCGGGGACTTCATTTTGGTTTAGTTGCAAGAAAAAAAGTTACAGGAAAACACGGTTAAGTTGGTTAAGAAGAGAATTCAGAGGTGAAGTGTGCTACACCACCACTCCCATTCCCCGCCATCCGTGACCAATTAAGCATGTTAAAGGCTTTCAGACACAAACTGGGAAGTGATATTTTAACTCCTACACAGAAGGCAGGCTCCAGCAAGCACCTCAGGCTCCGGCATAGCTGTTGATACTGTCCACAAACTGGGAGGGTAGGAACAGAAGAGAACAGGGAACAGCTTGTGCCATTTATTGTTCACAATCTGAAACGCTACCGTGAGCGTTCAGTAGAGCCATCACACCAATATGTGCTGTAAACAGTGCATGTTTCATATCAAACTATTGGCTGTATGCAGTACAAACATTTTATTCAAATCTGTTGTCACTGGCCCTTTTCATAACAGGCCCCTTTGCTCCACTCCTGCCAGGTACCTCAGCAATTTGCAAAGGGGACTTCATCTCAGATTTCTGCTGCACGCTAAGAATGATCCTTTATTAGCAAGTGGGAGGTAGATGAACCAAATCCTGATCAATCTAAAGCAAATTCATAGAGTGTTAAGTATTAGCATTAAAAAGAATTGAGTTCAGTTTCCCGGCATCTTAATGCAGGTTAAACTTTTGTTCTTCTGTCCTAATGAGATTCTTCCACCTAAGTCAGTTTTTAATACCCAGAAGTTGCAGGGTGTATTTATTTTCTAGGAGTTCAAGTTGGGAAGGGAGTACATCAGCCCTGATGGCCTCCTTGCATGCTGTAGTACAGCACTGCACCAGCTGTGGTCACTACAGGCTCCCTACAAGGTAGATGCAAGATGATCAACTCAGCCAAAAGCTATGAGAGGGCATAGCCACCCCATCCAAAATTGCATAAGAGGAAACACCTACCTCTCTAGTCCTCCATCATCTAAATTGCGGAATTCCAGATCGGTCCATGTAGAAAACTTCTCCAAGATGTATGCAGCCAGTCCTACAGGGGAGTCGTTCAAACCACAACCTGAAAAGGAGGAGAATTTAACTAAAATGGCAATAGCTGACTACTGAACTCAGACTGTTACAGAAGCAGCCCGTTATAATACAGGGTAGGTAACTTTCCAGAGCTGTTCCAGCAGCCATGTTCTTAAATAAATAAAATAGTAGAACAAGTTGGAGCCATTTCTTGTTGAATCATAAACTGATAGTATCTGCAAACCAACAGGCTCCACATTAGCTGAGACTGTATGTTTTCTGAACTGATGTAACAGTATTGGATTTCTGATGGCTTTTTTTTTTTTTCTTGTAAGCTAATAAGATTAAGCTCTATGTGCCAGGTAGGGTTTGCTTCCCTTAATCTGGAAGTTGTCATGTATTAAACAGCATTACATGGCCAAACCCCACATGCCTACACATGACCAGGAGAATTTGCACCATTATCTAACAGCAAAAACATTTTAAGGATTATTAGAAAGTCATTAAGGAAGAGCAAGCCTTTAATAAAAGGTCCATCTTCTGAATTAACAATAGCCAACTGCCTTCATGTAGAACAAGGCTTAATATACTTTTTATAGTTTGTTTTGTATGGACAGAAAATCACGCCTTCATCTGGAACTTTGCTAATACATCCTCATCCTGTGAAATACAGGGATCATAAACTGTCCCAGCTGCTCAGAAAAACCTTAGGAAAAGCTTTTCCTGAGGAACAGCAACATATCTGAAGTTTCATCCATGCAGCCCAACCTTTCTAACACTAGAGCTAGCACAGTTTCATAAGCAACTGCTATTTAAACAGGACAGGTGAGGTTCAGTTATCAAACTAGTATTGATAACTGAAATACCAAATGTTTGAAAAAGTTATATTGAACACGCTTTCCAGATCTGCAGGCCTCAGCAAGCACTAGCCTGTTCTGTACAAACTGTGAACGAAGAAGAGTACATCGGTTTACATATAGGAAAAGTTGACATTGATCCTAACTGTACTTTGAATACAGGCGCTGCCTATTTCAGTCTGTTGAAAATGAACCCACGCTCCATGCAGGTTTCCCAGAGTAAGTGTAAAATCAAATCCGTGCAAGCCACTCTGATCAAAAGCCAGCTCTGAAGAAATCAAGAGCGTACTATTAGCAAGCATAGCATATGAATAGCAAGAGCCAGAGACAGCTCCCTTGCTTCGGACAGCTTGCGAGGGAGCCCTGTACCACCAGAAGGCTCAGGAAGACTCTGGCAGCCTCCACAGCCGTGCTCCTTCCAGCTACCTTATGCTCCCTCCTTCAGAGTGTTTCTCTCCCTGTGGGAACCCGCCACACGCCATGCTCCTCTCGCCTTTGTCCTCAGAATTGCAGGAACGCTGCAGCTCCCAAAACCTGAACTGGCTGCTGGTTTCCAGTCTGCTCTGACAGCCCACGCGTTAGTGGTAGGGACAAGAATCACCCAGAAGACCACAGCAGAAGGAGCACGGCTAGGCAGCCTTCAGCTACCAGCTTCCCCATCTTTTCTTAAAGCACAAAAAGAATTCAAGACTAGTAATTTTTAGAAACCAAAACTCGGAGGAAGCAAAATTATTTAAAATCCATAAAATTATCATTTTGCCTACACATGTTAAGAATATACCTGCATCTGTAGGTAAGCTTATGGAAAGCCATTAAGAAATAGTTTCCTTAGCTATGGTTTTAATAAAATCCATGAGTGAGTTGCTGCTGCACTAAAATATACTTGGTATTCTTGACTCAGTTGTCCAATTCAGTTGCAAAGATGCTTTTAAAATAGAAACACTTAATACTTGGATGCTTAAAGTAGTTAAGCTGAGTGACTGGCTCCTCTAGAAAGAACATTCATAGGTATACCTCTTTTTTTTTTTTCCTTGAAAGTCTGCAGGTGATTCAGAACAATGAGTGAAAATTAAATTTTATTTTAGTTATCAAGTATAAATAAGCAACATTGTGTGCTGAGACAGCTAAAATCTTCTTGTTGTTTACATCATTTGAAGGTGATCCATTCTCTGTGGAGAAACTAGCTTTTGCTCTCAGCATACCTGCATCTGAAATAGAATTGCATTCCCCAGGGATAGCAGAAGTGGAAAAGTATTAAACTATTTTATTGATGAAAACGGAAAATTAGGTCAGTGGCACTTAGAGCATGCTCAGTTTTGATGTGCATATTTGCAGCTTCTGCAGGCAGAAAATTAGTGTAATGCTATATACCCACACATAACCTTTTCTGATTTGGATCCAGAAAAGGATCCCACCTTTTAAAACCTCTAATCTTCCTACTTCAATTTCCCTGACAAAAAAAAATAATATTTTCTGCATATTTTAAGCAGTACATTTTGTTTCTATGAAAGTACAACTAAAACGAACAGATTAAGTATTCTGAGCTCAAAAGGTTTTTTTATTTGTTTTACCAACAGTATCGGGCTTTGTAGCCTGTATGTGAGCATAGCCAGACTCCAACAGGATCCTGTAGAGCCCTTTTTTCAAGAAGGGAAACATCCGCCTCACATCTTCATCCTGGAAACCGAAGAGCCCTGGAAGATAGCGGCCCAGCAGAATGGAGAGCAGGTGAACGAAGCCCACGTTCGTAACCGAGGCCAGATTTAAGTGGAGACCTTTCATATGGCTAAAAATAAAAACAGAAAAAGCCCCCACAAATTATCGAAAATAAGAGGTGATTTAAAGTTGTTATATTTAAAATGTTATTAAGAAAGACGGACATACTTAAATTCCAACCTGTTCATTCCATCGTGACCCTGGCTGTACTTTGTAGTATGGCTCTTCACATAAAAACGACAAGTCAGAGGGGCAACTGTCAGTCATCGGCACACACTCCTGGGCGCTAAGCCACAGCATCCTCCTTTTGTTACAAGTACTTGCCCCACACCAGACCCCAGTGGGGCCATTACAAAACTACTGCACAACTGTCTGAAAAACCAGGTGTATATAGTAACAAGTAAGGTACGTAATACTGGATCGCTGTTTAACATTGAGGGCTGAAGAGAGAAACTACCCAGTGCTCATAGGAGTACTTGGGCAGGAACTCTCAAGTGCACAAGAAGTAACTATTCAAAGAATAAAACAGCCTTGCATGCCAGTCGTGCACTAAAGGGTACTCACCTGGGAGCTATCTGGGCCAGGTTGGTGCAGATGAGCCAGCCCCAGTCACCACCTTGTGCGTAGAACTCGCTGAATCCCAGTCTGAGCATCAATTCATAAAAAATAGAAGCGGCACTTACAGAATTAAAGTCTGCATTAGAAACAGAAACACCACCACTTGTATTAATTCCAGCTACACTTCTGACTGTCCAGCATTTATTCTCCCCATACAGGCAATGTTGAAATTCCTAAAAAGCTACAAGCCTGTTTTTCCTTGCCTGTCTGAAAGACTATATGGAACCCCTTGTCACTTTATCTAGGCAAGGTCTAGAGAGCAGCCAAGAAACCGTGAGGAGAAAGCCCAGGCTTCTTTGCAGTCCAGTGTTCTCCTAACCCCACCAGCTGCCCACGCACTTGCCCCACCGAGGGATTGCTGGACTCCCTTTAAACTGCAGCCATACTCCAGCCGAGCCCTGTCAGAGCCACTGAGCATCGCCCAGGGAAGGTGTTTCCGTTTTGTCTACTGTCAGCACAGTCTCATCTTAATGATAGTTGGAAGCTTTAAGTTTCCACTAGTAACGCACTTTGCTAAATGCTGACCACATAAATCATAACCAGGGAAACAGAGAAAAGCAAAACCAGCTTTCCCCACGTCATTCACCTGCATACACCATTAAATACTACACTCGGTATTTATCACCTTGCTCTAATTTGTTGCAGTTTGTGTTTGTATAATTCAGAGCACAAGCTGAACAAGCAGGTATTTGGCTGCAATCTACCATGTAGATACGTGAATTGATTCATTTCAACCCTTGCTTCTCATCTACCTGTATAATGCTGTTGAAAACGGATTAAAAACACTGAAAAGGAACAGTAACAAATTAAGTTTACTCTTCCTTCTCACCCAACACACAATTCATGGACTCAATTACAATTCATGAGTTGTCAGTTCGTAACTTTTTATACCCCACTGTAAATTATCTGTACGTTGCTCCTGAAACTAATTAATAGTGTCACCTGAAGTCACACTCTTATCTCCCTCTTCCCACACGACACACAGGATCTTTGTTTCTACACTGGGAAAACAGGAAGAGCCAGGAGTTACGGTTCTGCTCACTGTGAGACTGGGCTTGTGTTAGTTCAGTTTCTTCTCATACATACCTTTTTTGTGGGGTGCTTCTGAGAAACCATAACCAGGGATAGATGGGCAAATGACTTCAAAAATGTGTTCATCACTGAGGCCGTTGCTTGCAGGATCCGTCAGGAGAGGGATAATTTTGTAAAACTCGTAAAATGAGCCAGGCCAACCATGAACCATTAATAATGGTTTTGCAGACTGGCCTTCAGGCAAACGAGGAGGCTTTACGTGAACAAAATGGATATCAATGCCTGTAGAAATAAAATAATTAATTAACATGCCCAAATTTACCATGACACAAACTAATCACAGAACAGATTATGAATACATCTTTTCTGAACTCCTTTTTTGGTGAGCGTGCAAACACACTGCACTTCTCTATCCGAGGACCTTAAAGTACTTTATAATGGGCCATTAAGCATCACAGCAGCCAAATGAGGTCGGCATATTTCTGTTTTAAAATAAATTGGCAAATGAAGACATAGAAGTGAAGCAATCTTCTAACGGTAACACAGTGACTCACACAGCTTAAAGGCAAAAGAGATGATTACATCACTTAGTCCAAGTGCCCTTAAATTTTACCCAAATATCCCTATATGGCACCAGATAAGCTTCACCCAACCACAGATTTTTCTTCATGAAAGTCATACACTTGCAACTTGAAGGTATCAAGAGACAGGGAATCCATCATAACTAGCAGCTTTGTATGGGGGTGTTAATCACTCTCCTTGTTTTGTGCATGCCTTACTTTCCATTTGAGCACGTCTGGCTTCTGTCTCCTGCCATTGATCCTAACGGCACAGCAAAAGGAATTTAGAAGGTACTCTCTGTCTGTGGAAGCCTCCTGTAATGAAGTCATCATGCACCCATCATGCTGAATCAGGGATTTGAAAAAATGCCACGCTAAAAGAGTTAAAGTGTTCGATTTTGTAGTTCTTTTCTACCTTTTGTCCAAAGCTTTCAGTATCTCTTTTAGTAAACCAAAACAGGAAACTGTGTTCTGGTACCAGTCTCCTCACTGTCAAGTAAAAAGGTAAAAATTGCAGTCCTATTTCCTTTGTATTCCTTACAATATGTAAGCAGTAGGCTTCACACAGCGTTGCACTATTTGCTCCAGGTGAACGGCTTTTCCTCAAGCCTATTCAGGGCTTTGCTTTCCAGGAAACAGTAATTTGCTCTATGTAGAGCCTGAATGCCTCACTTCTTGAAGCATCAAAGCACATTTTACTCACATCAACTCCAGCTCACCAGCAATCCCACCCTCTTTTACTGACTGAGATTTCCCCATCCTTGACAATTCTGTGGATTTCTGTAGTCTCTGAAAAACTCTGAGGTGATGACAGGTGCTAGGAATCTGATATATGGCATGTTTCATCTTGTCTTTTCATGTCTCATCTCTGTAATCATTCCTAACGTTGACATTTCTCTTCCTATTGCTATACGTAGTACCTTGTCCTTAGATTCTTCTCCCTTTCTTGTCTCAGATGCTTTTTTTTCAGCACTAATCATGTTGTACACATTTAAATAAAATCTTTATGTTCTAACCACTATGTAACAACCGTTTATTGTCCCAAATCCATTCTAAATATTATGAACTTCCCCATTTGAAGTAACATACAATTATGGGTGTGAGTAAAAACGTAACAGCATAATCTCAAGCTTGAATCTTGCCACCACGTGCAACAGTTGCCTGCTGTGCTCTAAATCTACAACTGCCCCCGCACAACCCTAATTCGAGCATTCAAAATGCCCAGTTTGACCGAGCTCCAGCACCAGCACACCTCAGCTGAGTGGCCTTTCCAAAGGCGTCTGTGCTTCCAACAAGAAGACGAGAACCACTCGCTTGCACCTGGCAGTGGGTCAGCCCCTTCGAGGGAGAGGCGCTCTACGTTTCTCAGGCTGTGAGTGCTGGAAGTGGTGCAGCAGAGCACATCTGCCCTGCCAGGCAGGGACCGGCCCGGCAGCCAGCGTGCCGGGCGGAGGAGGGCTGCCAGGCCGACGGCATCGCCGCCACAGCAGCAGCTGCGCAGCTACGCGGAGCAAGAGGCGGCGGCTGTGGGTATTGCCGCGTGGCTGCGGGCAAGTCGGGGAACACACGTGCATCGTCAGATCCAGTTCTGTTTCCAAATGCCTGTGCTTGGCTCCTGTTAACACCAGCTGACAACCCATCCACGCACAGGGGAATTCCACGTGTCATTCCTTGTCCTAAAGGCTTCAGTTACGATGAGGGAGTTTCTCGCTGCCACGGCAGCAAGGCCCGTGCGACACAACCAGAGTGTTCTCACCACTGAGACCCCTTGCAGACAAGATTATGTATTCCTGTTGGTCTGTTTTTTGAAGGAAAGAGCCACCCACCTTGAATCCTAGTTTTGAATTGCGGGTACTTGTTGAGGACTTCAACTTGTTTCTTCCAATTGAACTGGTTTTTCCAGTAGCGGACAACCTTCCTGAGATACACTGAGTTAGTCCCATAATGGAAGCAACTGTTCTCCAGTGGCTCAGTGAATCGAGCCTGGTCAAGTCTCCTAAATAAGTCCTACAGAGAGAAAGAAAGAAGAGACATTACAGGCCCTCGTGTCTGCCATCTTGTGCTCTACTGTGCATGACTGGTTTCTAGTTATTCCCAAGCGAAACGAGAACAATGAACAAAACATCTCTGATGACACCTGTGTATTTTGCTGATGCTCCATCAGCTGTTCCAATGCTTTTTCTCCTCCAGATGGCCTCCTTCCTCTTCCATTTACAGCTGTTCTTAACACTCTCCATCTTTGTTTCGCAGGGCTGGCTAACCTATTTGCCAGGCTGATAACCAGAGAGGACAATACACTCTTCTCACAGTACTGTGGCTTCACAGTTTAAGTCTTGTTCCTTTCTGTGGTACTTTGTTCCCCAGGTGACACCTGCAAGCCCAACCTCACATCAATGCACAGATCTGGCCCAAACCTTTTGCTCTCCTTCCCAAACCAAGGGGCTGGATGTCTTCACTAGGAAATGCTCTGAGGAATTTTGCATGGCCACAAAGTTGCTGAAACTAGACTGGAATTAAAGTTTCACAATCCAGTGTAACTATGAAAGTGACCTTCCCACTGTATTTCAAGGTTACAGGGGTTGCTGACAATACTACAAAAATCGGCCCAAAATCACTTGGCAGGGAAGGACAGCCAAGACCCCCTTCCTACTGCAAACAGAACCACTGAATAGCTGAAGATGGAAGGCAAGGTCTGGAAATCTAAGCCTGCTCAAACCTCTGTGGGGTTTAAACCTGAACTGAATTTTCTAATATAGCAATAGAGATAGTTCTCACTCTGACTAAGATGAATTAGGTGCATGCACTGGCTCACGCCTCACAGGCAGTCTCAGTGCAAGCAAGATGTCAGTATGTAAGCTTATTGTTTTGGCATTTAATGTGTACAGAAAGCATGAATTTTTAGATGAAGTTTTTAACATGTCTTTACATACATGACTTTGTACGCTAGCATATCTTTAACTCCTAGTTTATATAAGAATATATTTAGAAACAGAGTTTTCTACTGATGGACTATGTTCCAGTAACGTTCATAATATAGAATTGAGTGTTTCAAAAACATCTGTAGGTTAGAAATTATCTAGCTTTGTGTCTGCAGTGTAAGGGGAAAACATATTGGAGATCAATGTCCACTGATACTATTAAGGAGGGCAAATAAAGTGTTAAAAAAACCCAGCCTTTCAGAGAAAATAGGAATCCATTACAAATGAATAACATGAGCAATCCCATAAGTACTGTTTGAACCACTAACTCCACACAGATCTATTAAATTGTGCAATCCTGACTTAAACACACACAATCAAAATCTTGCTATCTAACAAATTCTGCAACGTATGTGTTTACTGTAATTACCACTGTGGTATTAAGTGTTGACCAAAGTAGATCCTTAATTACAGAAGAATCAGCATCCAACACAGCTGCAAACATAAAGCAGTCAAGAAAATTAGATATTCATAATTGCTTTTGAAAGAAAAAAAGACTTTGTTCTTATTCTGGTCTACACAAACCAACTGAGGAAGGTGCACAAATGGGAACACAGAGCTAAGTAATCTCTAATATGATTTTTATGTTTATTAGGCTTTATAGAGTACGTTTATTTACTAGCAATCTTGCAACAGCCAGCTGAGAACAAAATTATATAGCAGGATGTGAAATCTGCCTATCCATACCTATCTTCTGAAGTACTGAAAAATCCCTTCCCCCAAGTCCTGGACACCATTGCTCATTCTCATAAATGTAATTATTTGTTCAATTTAAAAATTACTTCCAAACAAGTTCTGCATTTATTTGGCCATTACTTTCTTCTCTCTCCCCAGCATAAAGATTTGCTTACGCTCAGCTCTTCTTCTGTAGTTTCCACCTTAAATGGCCGAATAGTTGTATCTTCTTCAGCCTCAGGCTTTTGTCCCTTGCCCCACCATCCTTCTTGGAATGGTAATGTCTCTTCTTTCTTCTTGGAAAGTAAGAAGTAAATGATGACTGTCCCCAGAACCAGGAATACTTCAAGCAGCATAATGGCTGCAAAGGAAGAACAGAACTCTGGTAAGACCAATCAGATAGTTCAGAGACATGCGGCTTACTTTGTAAAGACTATAGAGGTTTACTTGCTTTTAAAAATAGGATTTGATCTACATGATATTCTGTCACTCACAGGACACAGACACATCTGTAAAATTTCAGAAATACGATGTTTTAACCTACGAAAATTCAGGGAGGAGGCATTTACATAGAAGACATTTAGTAAAAACAGAACTCAAAGTCAAGAGATCACACGGCTTGGTAATTAAATAGTCCTCTGATTAAACACGCCATGTTGGCTTCCTCAATGGCTGCCAATCGCTGCTAAACTTCAACAGTGGATATAATTCAAGTTTAATGCTTTCTCTTCCTCTGAAGCTCTGGATTTCCCACAAATTCCAAAGCACAGCATCTCTTCAGTAAGGCTCACATATCCATTGTTACAGATTTGGAAGGAAAAAAAAAAAAAAAAAAACAAGACATAAATAGAGAAAAGAGCATGAGGGCAGCCACCTTGTACCTCCCAATCAGCATGGGGGAGTGGGGCAGGGATATATTTACCTAACCCTTGAACAGCAGTGCAAAGGATAGAAGGACCTTCCCTTTCTTTCTCCCTCTGAACTCCTTTAAAGAGAAAACAAAAGACCCCATGCATGTTCTCCTGGCTCTAAAGCAACCTTTCCCAAGTGATAAAACTCCGTCAAAGTGAAAAACAACCTGACTTCACAACATATCTGCATAACCTGACTGCAGGGCTGTTGTGCTTTAGTCAACGAGAAATCCTTAAAAAAAAAATCCATTTGAACTTTTTCATGCTGCAAGTAGAAGAAAATACTCAGACTCTTCAATAATTAATGTTTTCAAGCATCCCTTTAAGTATGAGAAATGTTTCTAAGGTGGTTTGGGGAGCAGTACTGTCATTTTAATGCATAATTTTAAAGAATGTCGTGTTTCAAACACTCATTTGCTGGGGAATTGATAAGACATGAAGTATTTCAAAACTTCTGTAGGGCAAGCATTATTTATGACACAGAACAGTCTTCATTCTCTCCAGAGACAGAAGGTTTTGTTAGTTTTGCTGCTGCAGAGTAATTTGATGCTCTGAAATTGCTGAGATGTTCCTTGATCAAAACAGGAATTGTAGCAGAAGTTAATGGGAGTTCATGTGATTATAACAGGAGTAAAACTGTCCTGTCTTGTAGGTACCTTTATGTGATGGGACACACTGTAGTCAGCCTCTTGAATTTAATTTTCTAATCCCTGACAATAAATAAACAGACAAAATGGTCAAAATGAGCACCCACTAAAGCATGTATACAGAAGTCAACGACTATGTAGACAAGACAGCAAGCTACAAAAATACATTGCTTAGACATGCAAGTGCTACCGCCTTGAAAAGTGACCTCAAATTTCTTAATCCTCAAGAGGGTGGAGAAATGGGAATGATAGGCACTGAAAGAACTTGATTTGTTTATTCAGTTCACTGGTCCTTCCATAATTTTTGCTGTTTGAGGAGGTGCTAGTGTTTTTGCTACAACGTTCACTGGAGCACAAGACAGCAATCTTCTCCCATCTCCACAATACTCAACCATAACTTACCCCAGAATTAAAAAGTTTGTCCACTTTCAGCTTGCCTCAACACATAAACCAATGCAGTCTAGGAGCCTCCAGAGCACAATTAAATTTTACTGCAAAGCAGAACTGGAGGGGCTTTTAGAAACCTCAAAGCACTTTACATAGAAATAATACCTACCACAGTATTTAATAGCATTTTTATTACGAGGTCTTCACAGAGAACAGCAACTTCCCTGAAATCACAGCACAGCTCGGGCCACATCTAGACTACAAAGGTTCACCAGCATAACTGTAGACACCACATACAAAAAATTCAAACTCCTGGCCCAACATCAGTATGCTTACAAAGCCCCGTGACAAATAGCCATGCCAAGAGAAAAGAGAGCTGCTGTCAGCACCAGCCCCGTGGTTCAGGCAGGGTGGCTGGGGTACCTAGAAAAACAGGACTCTTTCTCCTGGCTTACACTGTATCAGCACCACCACCTCTGCCAACACAGTGACAGAGGCACAGCACCTAACACAGAACTGCTTTACCCAGGAACAATCCCAGCCCATTCTCTAGCAAGAAGCTCGTATGTCCTAAGTCACTGGAGTACCCAGGCTTACAAAAATATTTCTGCTTCCCCCACCTGCTCTCAAGGAGACTTGAGAAATCAGAATTTTTGCAGAGAAAGACATGAAAAGCATTGTGTGCAAATCTGTGTACTTTGCATTTTCCCTGGGCTGTGTGTGCAAAGAAACTTACTATGTGAACAGCTACCCATTTCTGCAATCAACTCCAAACAGATTTCAGGATGAGCTTGTTTACAGTCCAGCAACAAGCACCAAAATAAATTTCAGGTCTCCCAAAAGTTCTGCCTTCTATCACAGAGAACTGGAGCCATTGACAAATCGATTTTCATGAGATGTCACTTTGACCTGTAAGAAGCCTCCTCGTATACTGCTTGGATTATTTTTTGATAACAGAGAAACATCCCAAATTGCTCTCAATATTCAATCTCTTTCAGTTCCCTTGAAAGTGCCTGTAAAATTCCTAACTGCAAGAAACACAAGGGCCTAGAGCTTCAACTGTGCTACATTTTTCTTCCCAAGTGCACAGGAGGAAGAGAAACGGCAAAGCACATCAGCAGTATTTTAACTTTCACCAGTTCATAGCACACTCAAAGGGACTGTTTTGCTAGTGATGAGTTACTCGAACGCAGCATGTTCCTACCAACCTCTCCAGCCTGTGCTGAGAGGAAACCACTTAGAGCAAATGCACTCAATGATTTCCCAAGTTTGCTATTCAAGCTAGTTCTCTAAAACTCCTGTGTGTTATTTGACCAGCAGAAAGCAGCCTCAGTCGTGATGCATCTGCACCAGAACTTCCTCCACTAATCACTACTCAGCTGTTGTGAGATGGAATTTATTAGCCTCTTACATTTGTTCCATGATACAGCAATACAGCACCACGAATGTGGAAGGAGAAACAGGTACAATAAAACTTCTCTATACTTGCAGTTTTCAGAGATGTAAACAACAAAGTGCTGGTGGTTTTAGTCTCTGAAGCCTCTTGATGCAACTATGCTGGCATGTTGCCTTTAAAAATGACTACTTCAAAGGGAGTTCATGTTTTGTTTTGACTTTTTTCCTCTTTTTATGTGACCAAAGGCAAGACCTTAGAAGGAAATATTTCCATTTATTCCATGGTCAAGTACTTAGGCTCCAAGACTTTGTTGTACCCCAGGGTGGATATTATTGGTAGCACTTAAATACCTCAGACAGTACTTTCATCCCAAAGAGTCCAAGGAAGAATGTTTTTGTTTTGCTACATTAAAACCATGCTTTGAAAGAAAAATGTTGAAGTGTGATGGATTCAGTAAACAGCCCAAAAACTAGCTCGTCTTGAAGAAGGCTAAGTGCATCTCAAGCAATACGTTGTTTGCAAGAACCCCCCAAAACTTTCTTTCAGTATCTTACTGCTTCTTGTTGAAAACACTCTTGTTTTTCAGCACTTTTTGCATCTTGATTTGCACTGTCCTCTGTTCATATGTTAACAGCAGAGTGAATAGCTCCACAGGAACAGAGCAATTATTATTTACATCAAAGCTATGTCCTGTCTCATGCTCTGTCTTCATCAATATCCAGTAACAGATGCCCCAGAGAACAGTGCTATTTATTTTTTAGAGTGGTCATCTACGAAATAGCATAATGGTAAAATCCCCATCTTGTTCTACTAGTAATCATTCACCGTTGCCTTGCAGCATTAGAATCCATCTGAAACATGTTACTGGAGAAATAAGCAACTGGAAAGACTTTCAACCTAAGGTCTGGAAATCCATTTTGGCCCAAATGCAACGCAACCCAACCCAGCTACTATGGCTTGAATGAGGCACAATACACACAACTCTGAGTGGTGCCATTAAACTGCATCAGTGCAAAACCGCCGGCACACGGGTGAAGCAAAAGCTCCGACAGACCATGCTGCTTTCAGACACATACCAGAGGTAATCCTGGTTTAGAGTTAATAACATTTTCTCTCCAAGGTTGGTTTACTAGCAAGGTAGCTCGGAGCACTTAGCACACTCTGATGCTGTCAGATACAAGGTTTATTGATTAATAATTACTCTGCAGGAGAAATAACAGCTCAATTTAGAACTGATGTTTCCATTTATTTTTGTTCTGTTACATAAACTCCCGTTAGGTTTTACTGAAAAGGCACCCCTCTGCCGCAGCGTCTTTGTTTACAGATCGGTTCACCTGAAGAGCAGCAACTGCAGGTTACTCTTCCCAACAGATCTGAAGGAAAAACAACCCACTGAAGGACTTCAAAAAAACTCATGGCACCTCTAACAGGGTCCCCTAGCACTGACAGCCTAAAAGGCACTACGACATGGCACAGTCCCAGAAGCTCCACGTCTTACCATCTCCAGGCACCACATTTTTGTCCTTATGCAGCACCAGAAACAGAAAACCATGAAGTGAAGACATTTATGTAAGAAAAGCTTCCTATATATGTAGTTTATGGAGCATTATGACAACCTTCAAAATAGCTTAGCAACGCAGGAATTACTTTGTGTACAACTGATAACATCTCCCAGGTGAGCATAAAATGATACATTAACATTGTAGGAAAGGAGGAGAGGTAGGCATCGGATGAAATAAAGCGTCCTACGCAGGGAATCAAATCAAAGACAGAAAATACAAATCCAACAGAGTTTCTGGCTTGTCTCGATAAGAAATTTAGCATTTATATTTTTTATTGCCATAGGGAGGTGGCACACAATGCTATCTCCAAAACAGCAGGAAGAGATGATATCATTCTGTTCCCCAATCTTTTGCTAGACTGTTTGCAATCAGGAATTAGCCAGTACAGCAGGGACCTAATTAGAAGACTACAACCAAGGAAAGGGATCCCCTCCCCACAGGAGGAGAAACCATGCTGT